AGGTTTGCAATGGAAGGAATACTTGCTATTATACGTATATGTGATTAAATTACTTGTGTGTAAGTTTTATTTTTATTTCATTACATGTTATTGTAGTGAATATTTGTATCAGATTCGAAATTCTTTTTCGGTAATTAGATATTTTCTTTTACTAACTATGTGTCTACGACAAAATAGTATTACTAGAGAATTGTCATTAAATTACCCTAGTTTGTCTTGTGCTGGCAACAATGTCAACAGGAAGTCAAAATGATTGGTCAGTATCAGTGGCACTTTTCTTTGCGTAATCACTGTGTTTAAACAACCTTTTTAAGATTGGTTCTTAAGTGGAATTATACTGGCGGACGTGCCAAAGTTAGTGTAGTAAGAGACCTCATGAAATGATGTTTCGGGGTTTTAAATCCTAATATTTTCCGAGCAGAGTCATTCAACACCTTGAAGAAACATGGTGTACCTTTTTTATTTGTTGCCAGGATTGTTTGTTCTTCGTCTGAGTTTAGAATTTAATAATTTATTTCCCTGGAAATTCAACAAGTTGACTTTTCTTTTAAAAAAATTATGAATGATATTCATAGAAATTTATTCTGGAATTATTCCGAAATAAAAACTGTGATTTAAGTGATGAAGTATTGTTATTCATATATTAATCCACATATATGACGTCACCCCCTTCCATGTTTGTACGCCGTCGCGACTCAAACATGGATTCTTATAGGACTAATTAGTGATAGGACTTGTGTTTTTATTCTTAGAATCATTTTTGGATTGTATTCACAAAATGTAAGTCATATTTACCATTTGTTACAGTGTTATCTAGGGAAATATATTGCTTTGTTAAAATATATCAAGCTTGTTGGCTTTCACTCTTTTCTTTGTTACTAAGTACGAGCCCTTATCACGTAACACTATCAAAACAAAAATGGAGCCACATGCACAAGGCAATGTGATATTCTGAAAAGAAAGAAAATGACGGAGAAGTACCATACATATTTCTTTTTATATACAATTTTACTGATTACATGTTGAGAAACTATACCAGGTTGCATCTTTTCTGGCATATTGATATATGTTAGAAATAAATGTATTTGCCACTGTGATAATTCATAATAAATACAATTAAAAAATGTTGATCGTTGGTATAGTACCAACTATTTACAGTTACTAAAATCACTGTATTTTCTATAGTAAATTAATAGCAATAATCTCTCTATTTAATTTGCATTATTAATATAATTGTTTTGTATAGATTTATTAAGTAAATCAGTCTAATTTTTCTGTTTTCAAATTCAAAGATAATATTTATGTTTGGTGAGTTCCAAATTATTTGAGAGTGAAAATTTACTTTTTTCTTCGTAAAATAAGATTTTGACTGTTTTCGTTACTTGACTATCTCACAAAATTTGAGGCATTGTCTCTGCATATATCATAAAAAGGATAATGGCTTATTTAAAATAATTCTTGTGAGAAATACATTCTAAGGTAAATAATTATACGTATTGTTGTAAGTAGCAAGCAAATGAGATTTCTTATTATAGTGCACGTGGCAGTCTTTATAAAAGGTTCATGTGGATTAGAATAATAAATTATTCCAAATGTACTTTAATATAGCTTAATAGTTGCAAGCATGCAAACATCTACAGAAGTAACATAAATGTAAATGTATTTATAATATTCAGACGATAAATAGGAATAACCTTCATTAATAGGTTATTATAATTCATTTCTGAAAATGTGTTCCTAAATCTTCATCAATCTGTCTATTGTAATGTAAGGATTAAAACGTGTTTGTGTTTCTTAACAAATATTCATCTGTAACCATTTAAAATACTCTAGTTGGCTTTTAATATAATTTGCTTCAGAAACGTATATTCAAAAAGAATTGAGCTCATTTTGACTAAGTTAAGAATGCATCCTAAAAAATTAAAAATATAAATATTTATTACTGAAAACTAATTCTAATAGGATTATTTTTTTTCAATGCTTTGAAGCTTTGAAACTTAGATTGCTTAGAAAAATGTTGTCTGAGGAAACATTAAAATCTTTAATTAGTCAATAAAAAATTCTTTCAGTGGGGAATGGAAAACGAAGAAAGTACTGTGAATATTTTGTTGTTCTTCGAAACATTAAATACATTTCTTCTTTTTGTGAGATCCCATTTCCCTGAAAATTTCGGTTTCGCATTATTTATTGACTCAGACATAAACATTAAAAAAGTTGTATATTTATTATTCAATAATAATAATAATAATAATAATAATAATAATAATAATAATAATAATAATAATAATAATAATAATAATAATAAAAATGTAGAGACCATCAATGATACTATTTGTAGCTGATTTTGAAAATAGACTATGCATACTGATAACGTTGAGCATTAATGTTGTGTATTGTACAATATCAATAAAATTGTTTTAACAGTTATTGACTATCTTAAAATCGACCCAACGGTTATGTTGAAAAAATTTAAAACCCCAAAGCGTCGTATGTGCCAGGTCATCTGAATATGAATAACCTTAAAAAGTTTTGGTCCTAAACATCATTGGTTTCTATTCAAACTATATATTATCGACATTTCGTCACATTATGAGCCATATAATTTCTCCCTTAAACTGAAAAACCCGGCCATTTTTTCTGTGCACGAATTAATCAGATGTTGATCGGCGATATCCGTGGGTGAACCGATTTTAGTTAAAAGCTGCAACAAAAGATTTGATGACGTTATCGCTGTAAGTAGAAGAAGCTAACACCACACAATGTTGCAATGTCCTCAGCCGAACTTTGCCCAACAGTATATATTCCTGAGCCTTGCCTGGTCATCAATATTCATCTGAGTCTTATTTTGATATAATGCACACTTTCTTTTTAGATCCACATTTTAAAAAAAAACAGACATTGTTCTCTTCTTTCTCTCTCAAATAAATTTGCGCTCCACATGCCAATGCTGATGTTATTATATTAGTCACTAACGGCGTTTATCGAATATATCGCATCACTACTCTTGGAGCACTCCGGTGAACGAACTGAATTCGAAACGACTTCGTTACCTCAGTTAAGAGTTAAGGAGTGTTACCTCTTAATTCTAAAATGAACGTCGTTTAAACTTAACATCTTAATTATTTGAAGGAACAGTTTACTTCAGATACCTTTTCGAACAAATCACTACATTCCTTCCAAATTTGAGTTAGACTTGACTGGAAGAATAGTGAAATTTATGATAAACCACGGCATTTGGGATTTAAAAAACTGTAGCTTTCAACACCCCCAAAACCAAAAGAACAAAAACACAAATCGGTCTCACTCCTTCTTACAAATTAGCTGATAGACATCGGTGCAGTCGGTTTTAAAAAGAGAAAGAGAAAGATATATAGTAAAATAGTCTTTTAAAGAAAGAAAATAAGACAATGGTCGAATATTCTGTTGTGAATGTATACATTATTACATGTTTATCTCGGATGGGGTGGGGGCAGTGGCTGAGTGATCTAAAGCGCTCGAGGTAATGAATAACTGCCATTTGTCTGCGTAAGCTTGAGCCTCTGGCTCGGCTAACGCGAGTACGTGAAAAAGCTTGCCAGTAGCTTCTCGTGGGTCAATGTTGCTTTTTTCCTCCACTACCACCATCACCATCATCATCATCATCATCATCATCATCATCATCATCATCATCATCATCATCATCATCATCATCATCATCAATCCCTTAATCTAAGAAGTCCTTGGGGCACCACAGTTGACTTAACAATCAATTCTCCATTATTTCCCTGTTTTCTACTGTCCTTTGGAAATCTTCAAATCCCATATCTGTCAATTCCTTAATATTGTCTTCCCACCTCTTTTTCTGTCTGTCTCTTCTTCTGCACCCTCGCACTGTGCCTTGCAAGATTATTTTTGCCAGTCCAAACGATCATGAGACATGACTGTACTACTTCAGTCTGAGCTTCTTACAGTGGTTAAGAGATCCTGTTGGTTTCGGTTGTGGATTTCTTGTTGGTTACATGGTCAATGTATGAGATGCATCTCATTTCGAAGGTTTGAATCCTTCTTTGTAGATCTGGTGTGAGCGTTCATGCTTCACAAGCAAACAGAAAGATGGATATGACAATTGGACGCATCAGCCTTACTTTGGAACTAAAAGCAATGTTGGTATCTTTCCATATTGGTCTCAACCTTGTTACCTTGTTATTGCTGTTGTTGTCTGGGCAATCCTGCAAAAGTAGTTTGTAACCCTCACCTGTGATAGTTGATCCCAAGTACTTTAAGCTTGTTACTCTTTACAGCTTCTGCCCAATGACCTATATTTATGCACTGATGCTATTGGTGTTGTTCGTCATCATTTTGGTTATTTCGGTGCTAATCTCCATACCGTATGCTGTAGAGGTTGTTTTGAGACGCTCAACCAAGTCAGCAAGTCCATTTTCATCTCCTAGAAAACCATCAATATCATTTGGAAGCGAAGTTTGGTGATTGTTCTTCCTCCAATACTTTCAGTGCCCTTATTATCATGAAAGACATACCAGGAAATTGTTGAAGCGTATAGGTGACATTATACATCCCTGACTCCAACTGTTGTTCGAAACCAATCTCCTCCGCTGCCATTGATGAAGCCAGCACTGGCGGCTTTGTCATATAGGTGCTTAACAACCTGCACCAGGCAATATCAACTGTTGAAAGATCTTACAAGATACGTACACAAGAGAAAACTACCACCGTCCAAGACAAATCAGGAAAATGCCTCACAGAGAATCAAGAGATCCTCAAGAGATGGACAGTGATGTGATGTGATTATTATTTTTAACGTAGCTTTAAAAATTTTCAGTCATATCGCTACGATGTCTGCAGTGTGGCAGTTTATAGTGATGTCTATCACTGGGGCAAGTGGCATGATGTCCTACCCAGTACATCAACCTGAAACCAGGCCGACTATTCCTAACACTAACCTCTTAATGCTGAGAGTCAAGCGAGGCAGCTGTTAGTACCATTTTTGGAAGTTTTTGGTATGACTCGACGAGGGTTCGAACCCACTACCTCCCACATCTGAAGCTGACGCTCTAACCACTAAACCACCGAAGCAGATGCGATGGACAGTATACTGCTCAGAATTGTACAATCAAAAGACCCAAGGAGATCCAACAGTACTAAATTGCCCTCAGGCAGAAGAATATGATGACAACCCAATTATTTGTGAAGAAGCATAAATTGGAGTTAGGTCACTAAAGAACGGAAAGTCAGCCATCAGTTATATTGGCCGCCAAAAATAGCCTTTCTAGTTTAAAACAATGGCGTTAAACACTACCACCATCACCACCACAAAACAACAACATTCTCGGATTTGTATCTTTATAACGTACTTTCTTATCTCTTATAGCATTTGGCAAGATAAACTGTATTGTAGAGACAAAACGCAGTTCAGTCCCAAGCAGAAATATGGTTCAACATAACTATCATAAACCAAGGACATACAAGAAAAATATAAAATATAAGGGTCAGTCATTGAGACAAAATATGACAAAGCAAATATGTATATATCAAATACAAGAAAAAGCGATATCATGAAATGTAGTATGTTATTTATATTTAACTTTGATTGTGTGCTTGAAGTTTATCCACAGTTGTAAGTTGTAAACAACGTGTTTACATAGCTTACATTTGTCTATAAAAGTGTTAAGTTGTAAACAACATATTTACGTGCCAAGATTTCGAGGTTAGTCTTGTGTATAGTTTGACTACGTTTTGCTCTATTGCATTACGTCGTAGATCAAGTGAAAACGTGTATTAATAAGTATGTGATAAATAATTTATTCATGTTCTATATCAGTCTGTCAGATATAATTGGAGACAACTTGTTTGAAATATTGATTGTAATTACTAAAGTGTTCATTTACATTTTGTATTTATACAGGATATTCAAGGCTATTGGAATTCATTCACAGAAGATTACAAAATATTTAGTTTTGTGATAGAACATTTAGGATGTATTCTAATTTATTCTAATAATAATTCATTTTATTATTGCATGGAAATAAAGTGTTTCCTGATTTGTATTGCATTGTTAGCATTGCATTCTCTCGGTTGCATATTTAAGACTCAGAAACGTAAAAGAAATTTGGGCTCATGCCGGATGTCAATTATTTAAAACATTTTGGATATATTGAATATTGTCTTTAACATTTAATTTGACTTTAGTTAAGAATTTACATCGTCCCTGGTAAAGATGTTAATTTCACTCATTTGAGAAATTTTTAGTGAAACCACCAAGCATTTACAATTTGAGCTACTGTCGAGAACTTTGCTTCAAATCGTATTCAGGATGGTATAAAAAACGAGATGCGCAAGCTTGCCACTCATTACAATCATTCTGAAGAGAAAGCATCTTTAACAAACCTATTGGTAAAGAATATTAATCGGTATTTGGTGGGGAAGTAAATTGGGTAATTGTATATTTGGTTTTATTGGTAAGTCTGTATTTGGTTTTGATAGAACATTAAATGTACTTACGCAATGGTAAGTAATTTTATGGTCAATTGTTTGTTTACAGCTCGAGGGACAGCAAGACAGAGGAGACATAACTGAATTAAGAATGACACAGCAAGGTGAGCGTCCATAGAGTTTGGGAAAAGGGTTATAAAAAATAACATACTCCATGATTGTTAATGCATACCTCTTTTACCTCAATAAGTTCTATATCATTTGTTGGTGATTCTACCAAGTAAGTCCACATTAAAATATTAAACGATACATGAACCTCTAAGAGTCTTTTGTTATTAGAAAAGTTGCATTTATCAAGTAAAAGCGTTCTTATCTACTAGGCCACCGGAGTGATCAAATAAATCAGTCCTATTTAACAAGTGTTTGAAAATATTGTCTGCAGACCATTAAAGTTATTAAAAGGGAAACTTCTTTTAGTGAAGATTCAGAGATCAATCTTTTATTATATATATATATATATATATATATATATATATATATATATATATATATATATATATATATATATATATATATATATATATATATGTGTGTGTGTGTGTGTGTGTGTGTGTGTGTGTGTGTGATTTCAGATTTATCAACGGCTTGTGAAGATGCAAGAATATTAACTCTATTCAATTAAATTTTAAATTATATCTGACAGATACAAAGGAAAGTTTTTCAGTCTTGTGAAATAGATCTGGGAATCTTGCCCCTACCTCACAATCCTCTTTGAGCTTCATTTTATGGTAATTATTCCACTGTAAAGAAAGTAAATGACTTAAACTATATCAATAACTCTCCTATGAGGCAGAAACAGAAGCAGCTTTGCCATGTAATATGATAAAGGAGTATTTGATATGGATAGTTGTACCTGTCTCAAAAACATGGATGTAAATGATGAAATGCAATCTGACAGTTGCGACTCTGGTTTTAGTATTCTTCAGAATTTAAACATACTAAACAGTCTGTATCAGAAACATTTACAGAATCAATGTTTACTGGTGAATTACTTTATAGAGCCACATAAAAGTTGGTAGAGTTCACCGTGTATTCTTATACCTAGACTTAGAACTTCCTCAAGTGCTCGAATTACAGAAAAATTAAGTGTCACAAAAACATATTCATTTCCAATGTCATGAATAGATAACAGCATTGACAAAATTGGAAATGCAAGTTTGTCACAAAGTCTGGCTGTTTAAAAGGATTCTAAAAACAAAAAGGCACATGCATCTCCTGGCGGACTTTATCTGTATAAAGTAATGCCAATCGGTATGCAAATCTCTCCGTCAACATTCCAGCATTAGATGAACATAATAAAATCTTTTACATAATTGTGACGCATCCATCAAAATATTATATACATGACACCTGGAGAGATCATTTGGAAACCATTCGGAAAGCCTTCAATCCACTCTGTGATGTAATGTGACAGTTAATTAAGGTAAAAGTGAGTTTTGCCATGCTTTCGTGCCATTTCTAGGATATTGTGGGATACGGTAAAGTTAAAACTAGAAATTGAGATCAAGGCTATCTCTGAATTCCCAATAACTATTAGTACAAAGAATCTGATGAAATATTTTGGTATAACTGGATATTATCGAAAATTTTGCTAATATGCGTCCAAGATTGCTGAACCTCTGACTAATCTGCTGAGTAATATCCAAGCTTCCTTTGTCTCACAAGCATCAGGAATCTTTTGACAAAGTAAAGGCCATACTTAAGTATGTACCACTATTTTCAGCTCCAAATGTCAAGCAATTATTTCAAATGTTGATGTCATTGATGTAGGGGTTGGTGGAGTATTGATTGATGATGATATAGCTGTTGTGGTGTTCATATAATTCTAAAAATCTAACCACCAGAAAAATTATTCTCCAATAGAGTAGGAATGTTTGGCTTTGATACTGGCTTTACAACATTTCAAAGTGTATATTATTAGTTCAGCTCCTTCCCCGATTATTGCATTGAGTGATCAGAATTTCCTTACTTTCAATAACAAAAGGCAAAACAAACATCAGAGATTGTTTAGTTAGATGCTGCCAGAATACAATATTGACATTAGACACATTGGAGGAAAAGCTGTAATTGCATAAGTACTCTCACATGAATAGAAGTGCATTCTTTGTATCTGTCTTTTGTTTCATTCATAAATCAACTTCCAAAATAATTTTAATTATTATAGTATATAATGTATATTTTACTAATATAAAGATTTATTGTATAAAACTTTCTTCTTTTTATCAGCAGTGTCAAATATTTTTAATTTATATAATTTGCATCATTTTTGGCCATAACTTAAAATTCTGGATTGTTTTTATGTATCTAACTCTTGTCATACTTATTATCGAGGGTTGTGAATGGGGTTCTGCCTAACTGACTTTTGTTATCATTTTAATATAGTTAACAAATGTTTACTAGAATTTGAGATCAAGGGTTAGTGCAATTTTTAATGGAAATGATTACTTTTAAGAACAGTCTATTGTGACTTAGGTGATGTTGGGATGTATGTAAAGGGGACTTGTTGAACAATTATTCATTACTGTTTTATGCCCTGTCTTTGGAAACATTTACAGCTGTGTTATGATATAATTATTTTAATTTTTCATTAGAATTACAAGTTGATAGAATAATTGGACTAAAGCACTACTTTAAGAATGTTGAAAACTCATACAATGACATTCTAGATTGTATCATTGTGGTACATCAGGACATTGAAAACTACTGCTTTTGGCACATTATGTATTCTTGGACTTGGGATAGGACATTTAGAATCATTTACTGTAAATGTCTACTGAATTTTCAACTTCTTACTTAGAGAAATATTTTGTTGATTTTACTAAACTTGTTGGTTTCACTTATTGTTACAAAATTTAAGACCTAGAATCATAACATTATTATAAATCTGAGTTATGTTCACCCAATGCTGCACATGGAAAGTGCTTGCAGTTAGAAAACTGATTACATTAAGCTCTCTGATCATGATCTATGATCATCATAACCATTGTTTAAAGTCTGACTGATTATTGCAGCACAAATTTTGTCAGAAAGCTGTCCACTATACAAATGGCTTCCTGAAAAAAAACATGTAAGGCAAAATTAAATTGCATGTTCTGATTATTTTCAGTTAGGAACAATATCATTTTGTTCTATCATTTGTTAAATTCTGTGTGCATCATTCTGTAAAAAAACAAAACATTGCTGGACTTAATGCACAGGGGGCTGATTCATCTGTCATTTAATCACAATATAAATAAACATTTCATTCATGAAAATGCTCTCAGTGTCTTCACCAAAATCTAATCTCAAAACAGCTTCATTCTGTCAAACTATGTTTCCAGCCCATACCAATAAATGAAGTGACTAAATATATTTATTAATCCTAGCTAATTGCATAGGTCTGCCATCACATCATGTAACATCATATATAGGTCTATGCAGTTTCTTGTAGGATCCATCTTATACACGAGTCGTATATGCAATAATTATGGAAGATTTCATGTTAAGGTTTTTGCAATAAAATGAAAAGTTTCTTCTTAATAATAGGAAAGCATGTCTACATCTAAACTTTTGAAACAAATGATATTTTTACACAGTTAAGTATC